TGACCCTGCCGAAGTTATATTATACAAATCAAACTTATAATATGTAAAGCTGATAATTCCTGTTTAGTAGCCAAGACATATCAGATTTGAGGGTTGTTATCCTAAAGTTACATCTATATACCACTTCTATATATAACAATACCTATTACACTGCTAGAGCAAATAAACAATTGACTTACAGCCGCTAATCCTTTAAGAATTATTATTATTATTGTAATAACAACAATAATAGCAACAATAATAGTATTTTTTTCTGAGACATTGAGCCTTCTCTGTCAGAAAGCTCTAGTGCCACATAAACTACAGTTCCCATGATTCCCTAGCACTGAGTCAGGGCAGTTAAAGTGGACTCAATTTGCACTATTTCTGGCAGTCTGCAAAGGCCTAGTGGTCAGTTACAAAATGTCCCTGAAGTGTCTTTTCGTTTTTACTTTTGGGACTTCAGCATGGCAGAGTTTGAAGAGTGATCCATTGCTGTTAGTCAGTCCAATGTCGCCTCTCTCTCCCCCAAAAAAGCAACTTGCTTCCTCTAAAAATGCACTTAAGATAACTTTGTAAAGTAGCTAATAACTGTTACATGTTACACCAGTGAAGTAGTTACATCGCTACCTGTCATTATAACTTTGAACAACTTTTTATGAGTAATTGTGTTGCAACAGACTCTGTTTAGGAAGTAAATGTTACATTTCTGTCCAGGTTGTGTATGTAATACTGACAACATTTCACTTTCTTATGATTAGGGCTGTTACATTTAACCAATCTAATGAATACTCTTAAAGGTGTCCCTTTTAAAATCTGTATTCAAGAACAAGACTGCAGAAATAACCCAATTTGACACCACTTTAATTGCCGTGGCTCAGTGCTATGGATTTCTGGGAAATGTAGTTTGTTGTGGCACCAGAACAAACAATATTTATATGAGAGACCCAACACAACTGGCGGTCTACCAGTTAACTATGCCTGTTTCCTAGGTATGTGCAGAGTTTTGGGGGAAATAATGTTGGATTAAAATTCCCAGCATCCCCCACCAGCCATGGGCAGAGCTGGTAGAAATGTTTGGACTACAACTCCCAGAATGCTCTTGTGAGCATGGCCAGAGGCTATGGAATAATTTGGGGAGTTTTTGGTCTAGCCAAGGCTGCTGCCACATTGCAGAATTAACACAGTTTGATGCCGCTTTAACTGCCATGGCTCCATCCCGTGGAATCCTGGGATTTGTAGTTTGTCGTGGCACCAGATCTCCTCAACAGAGAAGGCTAAACAGTTCGCAAAACTACAAATCCCAGAATTCCATTGCATTGAGCCATGGCAGTTAAAGTAGTGTCAAACTGCATTAATTCTGCAGTGTAGATGCAGCTCAAGCTGCATTGAAACTACAGCTTGGAGAAGTTACGTTTTGGCCTGCGGCTCACAACTAGCACAGTTGGTCCAAATTTTCCATTTTAGGAACAAGTCCAGTTTCCTGGTGGCTATTTGTAAATCCTAAAATCTTTTCTCTCTCTCTGAAGTTTTGCGTAATTTATGGCTGCTTTACTATATTTTATGCTGTTGTTCAATGGATTCTTTTTGAATGGTTCATCCACTTGTTTCAACTGGTATATTGTCCGTTGGCTGGAGCTTGCTGGCGATGGCAGAGGATAGCAGTTTCTAATTAATTAATTAATTAATTAATAAGTTGCCTGAGAGGATGAGGCTGGCTTTGAATCGCTTCGTGTTTCTAGGATGAATCACAGCAGGACAGAAATGGTTTGGCCTCAGCAAATCCTATCCGTGTGCAACATTTTGGAATGCAATGGTATTTAATAAAATAATAATTAATAATAATAATAATAATAATTTTTATTTATAGCTCACTTCTCCATGTGGATCGAGGTGGGTTACAATACATAAGAATAACAATAAAATACAAAATACAGTTAAATCCCCTACCCCAACCCACCTCCCAATCATAAAAAAAGAAGCAAACTAAAAACAATAACAATATAAAATACTAATTAAAAGAGGAAAAATAACAAATTAGCTAAAATTAGAGGTAATTAAGCTTAAGGGAGAATCCTGCCAAGAGGCTGGGAAGTGATTTAGGGCCTTTGCAGACTGCCAGAAATAGTGCAAATTGAGTCCACTTTAACTGCCCTGGCTCAGTGCTAGGGAATCATGGGAACTGTAGTTTTTTCTGAGACATTGAGCCTTCTCTGTCAGAGAGCTCTGGTGCCACAATAAACTACAGTTCCCATGATTCCCTAGCACTGAGTCAGGGCAGTTAAAGTGGACTCAATTTGCACTATTTCTGGCAGTCTGCAAAGGCCTTTAAAGGGGGGGATAAGTTTACTACCAATGGCAAGCACAGAAATGCAAGAAAAGCAGCCGATGTGAATGCAGCGTTTGTCTGTCTCCTCCGATTCTTCTGCTTCCTTCCCTTTATCCCTGGATCTTCCTGGCACATCCTGCCACCCCTGTTTCTCCTCCAGCTGGATCCATCTCATTTCCATGCCAGCATCTCATCACTTTCTCTTTCTCTCTTGTTTCTTTGCCCAGAAAAAGCCCAGCCCAGGGGTAGGCAACCTTTCCCCTTTAAGGGCCGAGGGACTTCAGCTCCCAGAATCCCAGGAGCTATTGGCCAACATGGGACTATTATAGGCCAACATGGCTGAGGCTTCTGGGAGCTGAAGTCCCTCAGCCCTTAAAGGGGAAAGGTTGCCTACCCCTGGCCCATCCTGACAGAGGGTCCCTCCGGTCCAAGGCCTCTTCTCTTGCTTTCTCCCTGGGACAAGCTCCTTTGCCTCCTCTTTGAACCCGCTGCCAGGGAGCAATGGAGTGGGCACAAAAGGGGGACTCCATCAACTGAGCCGGGGTCAAGGGAGGGTTGGGGCCACCCAGTGCCCCAATCTCAGGGGTGGCCAGAGGTCACTGGGCCACCCAGCCCCCCCTCTGTTGCTGCTCCCCGGCTTTGTCATGCAAACCCATCTCCTTTGCAAAGGTGGCCAATGCCGCTCTGGGCAAATGGGGGCAAGCCATGTGGGTTTGAATACCGGGAGAAAACTGTGCAGAAATATTCATTTTCTCAGAGACGTGTGTGAAACAATCTTAACTCTTTGTCCTTGCATGCAAGGATGAACTAACCAAGGATTTGGTGGTGGTGGGTGGTGGTGGTGCCTGCCTTCAAGTCATTTCCAAACTATGGTGACCCTTAGGTGGGCCTCTCATGGCAAGATTTGTTTAGAGGAGGTTTGCCGTAGCCTTCCCCTGAGGCTGAGAGAGTGTGACTTGCCCAATCTCACTGAGTGGGTTTCAACTGGGAAGCTGAGCTGGGAATCGAACCTTGGTTTGCTGTCCTAGTCCACCAGTCAAACCACTATGCCATGCTGGCTCTCAAGAAACGACAGGCATTCCTAGAAAGCAGAAAAGGCCTGATGATCCCAGTAGCCTCTCTCTCCTCCAACCCTCCACTTTCCTTCTGGCTTTGTGGCACCCTTTCACTGTACTCTGCACTTGTGCAATTACACATGTGCAGGACTTCTCCCAAGTATTGTTTGCAACTCTTGTCCAGAGTCCAGCCACAAAATGGTGGGGAGACTTCATGTGCCAATAGGACCATGTGCAAAGGAATCATAGTCCTTACTTTTCTCCTGGAGGGTTGCTAATTCTTGCTACTTTCCTGACTTTTCCTGATTTTGGTCTGTCTTGTATAGATTGCAAAGGGATCTTATAGCACCTTTGAGACTCATTGAAAGAAAGAAGTTGGTAGCATAAGCTTTCCTAGGCTTGAGCCTACTTTCTCAGATGCATGGAGTGAAGACATCTGAGGAACATCTCCATGCATCTGAGGAAATAGGCTTGAGTCTACGAAAGCTTATGCTACCAACTTCTTCCTTTCAATGAGTTTCAAAGGTGCTATAAGATCCCTTTTCAGACTGATTTTCCAAACTCACACAGCTGTGTCTTTGAATTGTAGTAGACTGTTCCTGGGAGCCAGTCTTGTTGATTTGCATTTTCACTTATTTCCTTAGATAGGTAATTTAGTTTGAGAAATACCTATTGTAAATCCAAGAGCTTTGAGTCCATGTCTTGTGGGTCTGAACAGATGCGGTTTTGTCTTGGAGGGCTTGGCCTCAAAACAATAGATTTGGTCCTCCGGGTGAAAACTGGAGGCATGCAAGTATGTGTAGGAATCGGTGCATCTTTCATGCAGCGTGGTGCTTAAGAAGTCTATTGTGCATTGGCACAGTGCTGTTAAGAAGGTGGATTTGCAGTGGAGATTGTTGTTGTGCTAGCTTCTCATTCTTCCTCATTCAGAAACAGGTTTTTAAAAAATGAAGGATGGTTCAGAAGTCTGCTTCTTGCTTGCTGGAGATGCTATAGAGAGGGGAGGATCTATGCAGACAGAAATGGCATGCCTCAGCCATCCTTCCCAATGCAGTGGAGTCACTGGGAAACAAAGGCAGTAAAAGGAGGCAGCCACATTTCCTTTCTCCTCTTGCAGCCATCTGGGTCTTCCCTCCAAAATCTTCTGCTCCCTCTCTGTGTCCTTTATGAGAGTTTTACCGATCATCATCGATCACAGCAGGAAGATCCAGAGATAAATGTTGGTCTTGTAACTGGTGAAGCCTCCCAAGTGAAGACAGATCAGATCTCTTTGTGTGGGTCTGTGCCTTCCATGTCGATTTATGGTGATCCCATGGATTTCCTAGGGCAAGGAATACTCAGAAGTGTTTTCCCCAGTTCATTCTTCTGCAATTTCTTTGCCTTGTGTTCAATTTTAGCTCAAATCCCAAGGAAAGATGACAAATCCATCCACTCTCGCCAGGTTACTACTCTTGTATGTCACTAATTAATTTGATGAATTGTTGTTGCGTGCTTTGAAGTCATTTCTGACTTATGGCAACCCAAAGACTAACCTATCATAAGGTTTTCTTGGCAGGTTTATTCAGAGGGAGTTTGCCATTGCATTCCCCTGAGACTGAGAGAGTGTGACTTGCCCAGGGTCACCCAGTAGGTTTCCATGGCCGAGCTGGGATTCGAACCCTGGTCTTCAGAGTTGTACTCCAATGTTCAAACCACCACACTATGCTGGCTGTCATGAAAAGGCATACATGAGATGTAAATAAAAATTTCACATTTAGACATTTTTGCGTGTGCCAAAAGATGTCATTGTTGTGTTTTTTAAAAAAAAACCACATGAATTTTTCACATAGAATAAGTCCCAAACTGTGAAAATTCTTGTCTGTTCAGGATTCTCTTAGGCTGCATTTGCACGGCAGAAATAATGCAGTTTGGCACCACTTTAACTGCCAGGGCTCAATGCTATGGAATTCTGGGATTTGTAGATTTGTGAGCCATTTAGCCTTCAATGTCAGAGAGCTCTGGTGCCACAACAAACTACAATTCCCAGGATTCCATAGGATGGATCCATGGCCACTAAAGTGGTGTCAAATTGGATTATTTGGATGCAACCATTGTCAGGGTTTCCTCTGTCTCAGGAAACCTACATTTTTGTGTCTATTGTTCTATATATATATATATATATATATATATATATATATTGCCAAGGCTGGAGTTCACTCATTTTCCCACTTTCCCAAGGTATTCCTGATGATAAATAATTGAACCAAGGAAGGAAGGAAGGAAGGAAGGAAAGAAAGAAAGAAAGAAAGATTTTTTTTTTTTTGCACTGAAATATGGAGCTGATAACAATTAATAGGAATTGTCAGGAATCAGCTCTGAGGCCAAATTAAAGTGCAGACAATTGAAAACAACGGGGAGCAAAAAATTTAGGTCAGGCAGTATTGAAATTGTCCAGGCGCCAGCCATGTTTTGCTTCTCCAAATGCACACACTGCACACAAACACATACACACACATATTCTCACTTAACACAACAGACACTTTCCTTTTTTAGGGGTAGTTTGACAGCTGAAATCAACCACTCCGTGCATGAAGCTGCTTCAGTGTCTGTTTGGGAGCTGGATTGTTCTTAAAAAAGGAGATTGCATTTCATTTCTGGTGAGCCGATCATCTGAAGTAAAAGGCGGCATCTTAAAATAAAGGAGACTCCTTAAAATGAGGGAGGGAGGGAGGCAGCTTGCCTCATTTACCCCAAAATAAAGCAAATCCAATCATATATCCACCAAACAGTGATCCCTGTATTGGCCAACCAAAATGCACAATATACACTTTGCAAGCTTCGAAAGCTAAAGCGGTATCAAACTGCATTGTTTTTGCAGTGCAGATTAGACCTAGGACTCGTTTTTTGCACTTCTCTTTCTGTCCTTGTTTCCTAATGGCTTGCAAGTGTGTGTACTCTCAAGAGAGCCACTATCCCACCTCTCTCCAAATATTGCTCTTGCATTGAGGATGGGAAAGGGAAAGTCTCACACAACACCCAGAGAGAGAAGGAAATTGCAATTGCAATTGCAATGGGAGAAGCCAGGGTTTTGCAGGTTTCCAGGGCTACGCAGATGGCTGAGTAACCCCTTCTGTTGGTTGCCATGGTTCTAGGCCCATCAAAAGATGCTGCGGGGAAGGATGGATGGATGGAGAGGTTTTCCGCCCTCCGAGCTTCTCCTCCCCATCTAGAAAAAAGGAAACCTGGCTACAAGATGCTTTTTGCAAAAGGGCTTCTTCTCCTTTCTCTCTTCCAAAGTTGAGCCAAGTTTTGGAAAACTCTCAATTCTTCAGCAAACGTGACACGACAAGATAAAAGTCGTGTCTTTCCCAGGTTTAGTTCTTCCTTGTAAAGGAAATAAAATAAAGCATAACTATTACTCATTTGTGGGTTACTAAAGGATGCCCTCAGTGACTATGCATGGGGAACATGCATTAATTTCTGCAAATCCCCCCCAGCCTGTAATTGGCTCTAAGGCATATTTGGGCCAAAGCAGAAACTGCACAAGGCCTTCCCCTCCGTGCAAACAGGGATACACAAAGACCACAATTCAGCGGGAAGTTTTTCAGTGTCAACATCCCACCAAATTGCATCCCAGCGATTCAAGGATTGCCCATTTCCAGATGTGCTGTTCATGGCGAGGCGAAGGGTATAGCTCCAGGGAGGCAAAATGATGGCAGTGCCACCCAAATAACAATTCACATGAAATTTTCCTTCAGTGCCCACACATTTTTACCATTGCATAGAGCGAGACATGGCAAACCATTCTCACCCCGAACTCTTCTATTTGCGGGTGTCCTCACTCCTTGGATCCCTTGGCCTGTCGCTTTGCTTTGGGTGCCTAAGGTGCATCAGCCCTGTAGAAAAATGATGCAGTTTGACCCCACTTTAAGTGGTGTAGCTCCATCCTATGGAATCCTGGGATTTGTAGCTTTACAAGGTCCTTAGCCTTCTGGTGTCCCAGAAAACTCCAAATACCAGTTCCGTAGGATGGAGCCACAGCAACTGAAATGGTGTCAAACTGCATTATTTCTACAGTGTAGATGCATTAACTGCATTATTCCCATAGTGTAGATGCACCTTTAAACTTTATTTCTAAATTTTCAGCTGAAGATGCAAGTTAGTGCAATGCTAGAAATTTAGGGAGTGAAGGAAATTTTCATTGGGAGGGGCCAGAATTCTTTTTTGGGCCATTAATGCCTTCATTTTGCCTCCTTCATGGCAACACTTCTCTTGGTTCAGACTGATGGATCTTCTGCCTGATGCAGCTTCTTGCTGTATATCCTTAAAGTCACCTCTGGAAATGGCAGAGAACAGTAAATTTCCTTTTTAAACTGACCCACAGTTTACTAAGCAAGCCTTCTTATGCTTAGTACAATAACATCCAAAATCCACAAAACAGGGATACCTTTATTCAGCAAAACAAAATGAACAAAATACATGATGCAAGCTTTCGAAGCTCCGCTTGCATCATGTACTTTTGCATTTTGGATGGCTGAATAAAGGCATATGCTTTGTGGATTTTGGATGCTACGGTCCTTTGATATATGGCCAACACGGTTACCTCAAAAATGTTTCTTGCTTATGCTTAGTCAAACATATGCTTATTGCTTCTCCCTCCAGCCTTCCTGATTCTTATACCTTACAGCTTCTCACATTCCCAGATCTTTCCTCTGCTTTAATTCCAAGCTTTCTTTCTTTCCTTCATTTGTTCTTTCTTTCTTTCTCAGGATGATTTCTGCTCTTCTTCTTTTTCTTAAGGGAGCATCTTCATTTCCAGAAGCATGAATGCAACTTGCATGGCTCAGATGTCTCCACCAGATGGAGCCCAAACTCTTCCTTCGGCTCTTTGCAGCCCCACCCCCCCTTTTTTTTAGGCAGCCCCCCCTTTTTAAAACAACATCATGGGTTTCCTATATAGAGAAAGCTCAGGAAGGAAGGAGACCATCACGCTGCATGACAATCTCAGGCACATCTATTTCTGCACTTTTTAGCTATTCCTGGATTTTATCCAACTGTGCGCTTATAGCTAGTTGGTAGCAATTTAACTTCCACGGCTCCATCCCTTGGGATCCTGAGATTTCTAGCTTGGACAGGGAGACTTAGAACCCCTTTGCTAGAGAGTTCTAGCACAGTGCCATGAGCTACAGGTCTCAAATGGCCCTGATTTAATTCTCAGTTCCTCTTTATCAGAGTACCTTGGGAGCTATAGCACAATAATGCCAAAAACCTGATATATTTACTGGTCAACCAAAATGCACAAAATGAATGTTGCAAGCTTTCGAAGCTCCACCAGTTTCTTCATCAGGCAAAGCCAATGGAGCTTCAAAAGCTTGCAATGTGTATTTTGTGCATTTTGGTTGGCTAACAAAGGTATCCTGTTTGGTGGATATTGGATGCTTTTGTATTTTCCTACATGGCTATCCTTGGATATGTTTCTTGGTAGCTATGGTTGAGCACAGTCCTGTAGCAGAGATTTTGTAAGCACCCCCTCCCCAAACTACAAATCCCAGGATTCCACAGGAAGACACCATGGTGGCAGTTAAAAGTGGTATCAAGCTGCTATAATTGTGAAGTGTGGATGGACCCCAGATCATGGCAGCTTAGCCCTGCCCAGTTTGCAAGCCATCTCTCCTTCTCTCCTTGCGGTTCTCAGGTTTATCACATTCTTGCAGGACTGCGTTTAGCTCTAGCCGGGTAGATTCGAATCAGCAACAATGCTGGCTTCTGTTCACACCCGCATCGCTCTATGGCTCCCAAAGTGGGCAGATTGCCTGCTAGTCATATTTAGGATACTCACAGTGTTCCTTCCAATAAAGCAAAGTGGCCATTTTTGCAGAGCTCCCCAAAGGGAGTGTGCCTTCAACAGCAAGACAAGGTTTTTTGTTAACTGCCCTCGAGTCGATCTCAAGCCAAAGAGACCCTATGGATGCATGAGACCTCTCCAAGAAGACCCTCTGTCCTTCACTGCTCTACCTAATTCCTGCAAGCCCTTAATAAATCCCCATAGGGACCTCCTTATTAATAGAGTCCCTCCATCTGGCAGCATCTGGCCTTCCTTTCTTCCTACTTTCCTCCACCTTTCCCAGCATTATTGTATTTCCAAAGAGTCCTCTCTTCTCATGATGCGTCCAAAGTACGACAGTCTAAGTCTTGTCATCTTGGCTTCTTCTTCCAGGGAGGTTTCCGGCTTGATCTGTTCCAGGACCCCTTTGTTTGTCCTTTTGGCTCTCCATGGGATCCTCAGCACTCTTCTCCAGCCCCACATTCTCTCAAATGCATTGGTTTTCTCCTATCTTCTTTCTTAACTGTCCAGTTCTCACTTCCATCCATGGGAATAATAGGGAATACAATGATGGCTTCTGTGATTCTGACTTTTGTGCTGAGTTGTATATCTTTGCATTTTAGGATCTTTTCTAGTTCTTTCATAGCCAACCTCCCATTCTTAGTCTTCTTCTGATTTCCTGACTGCAATCCCCATTTCTATCCAGGTTTTACCCCAGATATGATAACTCTTTTACTATTTCTATTTCCTTATTTTCTAGTTTGAATGTGGGGAAGTAGGATACAAGTCTAGGAAAGCTCCTGCTGCCCAATTCTTTCCTTCAGAGAGCAGTCTCAAAGGTGCTGCAAGATCCCTTTGCAGACTACTTGGGTTGCACGTTTTCTTCTTAAATTTGCTGGATTGGCA